AAAAAAACCTTTTTATATTACCAAACTACATATAAATTCAATATAATAATAATATTATCAGATCTTTACGTATTATAAAAAAACAACCTTTTCATATTACCATGATATGTAGCATTTTTCGGTTGAAATGATCAAAGGAGAGGTGTACATTTGGATATAAGGGTGATATTTGTATGTGTACTATGTAATATAACTCTTACTATTATATCCCTTAAGATTATCGTGGTCTGGAATCTTTATTTCTTTGTGATTTAAAGGTTTAGGATCAGGGTTCTTATTGGAAATCATAGTCTGGATGTTATTAAGGAAGAGATAACAGGTTTGCCCTGRAACTTTGAATAAACCTTATTTAATCTGAAAGGTTTAAAAAGTGGCACTATAATATACCTGGTTAAGTACAAATCTATTTTGGTTTGATGTGTTGTTTGCAAGCAGAGAATTTCGCTTGAAAAGTGAAAGGTATTGGTATCACTACTAGAAAACTGACCATTTCCGGCGGACTAAATCCGCGGCGGACACAAAAAAAGTCAACATTTCATTGACCACCAAGGATTTCCGGCGGATTTCTTAAATACTCAGTTTAATCTTGAATTTACATCTAATTACAACATTTTACCGGCGGATTTCTGGCGGATATTTTAATTTTTTCTTTAAAAAAATAATTAACAATTTTCTGGCGGATTTTCGGCAGATAAATAAATATTTTAAAAAAAAGGGAAATCCAAAAAAACCCAATGGACTTTACTGTTTGGAACGATTAAGTTCTTGGACAATTTTTTGAAACAAATAAATTCTTGAACATTCTAGAACCTGTTAAATAAGTCATTGGACATTACAAAACTTGTTAAATAAATCCTTGGACTTTCTAAAATATGTTAAATACATTTTGTTAGTAGAAAAAGTCCGAAAAAACCAATGAACTTTAATATTTTGAACGATCAAGTCCTTACACATTTTTTGAACGAAAAAAATACTTACATTTATATAAAAAAAAACAAATATATCATTCTCATTACTTTTCACAAAACATACAAAAGTTGTATCCGAAGCATAATAATCTGCATACAAATTTTGAGCATAATTTTACCAAAAGTTAAACCAACACTAGTTGTTTACCCGCGCAATGCTGCGGATTTCAAAATTTAACTATACAATATGAATAACTTTTTTTTGCATGAATATGAGATCGTTGTAAAAATTCAAGTACTTTTGATAGAATATTACGAATGAAAAAAGCTTAAAGAACAAATACAAGAAATAAACCATGTCTTCTAGAAATTACATAATGACATTCATCAACTTTCTCTTAACATTTTATCAACATTGCACTTTATGATATTAGGGAAATACTTTTCAATTAAGCAAACCTTCATAAAATAATCATCCACTAATGGGTTGTTTACCAAATGCTCCCAAGTGTTTCCCATACTAAACATTTTTCACAGTTCAACCAATTTTAAATAATTTGACAAAGTGTGTTCAATGCAAATGTTGAAAGGTAAAAGATATCTCAATTAAACAACTTGCTTTAATAGTTATTTGATTCAAATGACTTTACAAATTAAATTTACAATCAACAAAAATGAAAAACAAAATTGAAACAAAGATGATAGTCACTCTTCTTGCCTTGCCTACTCTTGAGAGAACACAAAAGCATCAATGTAACAGAAGAACCATAATTTACTGTTGCAGCCAAACCTCTCATTCTCTTGAACTCCAGAGCTAGATACTTCCATCAATTACTTCACCTCTCCTAAGAAATGGCTAAGATGTCATTTCAGTTAGTTAATAAAATAAAGTTATTGATGGCACATAAACATAAGTGAGTGAAGACCCCCAATTTGTTTGGTTTTGTTTAATGTAAAAGTTTCAGGTTAACTGATTATCAAATCGAATAATCCAAAACCGGTTACATCAAACTTTATTTCAATATATCCATGAAGCAAAGTGCTCAGCATCTTTTGCTCAGCATCTTGTGCTCAACATCTTGTGCTCAGCATCTTGTGCTCAACATCTTGTGCTCAGCATCTTGTGCTCAGCATCTTGTGTGGTGTCCAATGTACAGAAAACAAACTCTCAAGGCCTTACCAATTAAGCTATTCTTGATAGGTTTTGATGTAACCATTCTAGCCATAGAAAAACCATTTCCCA